AAATAACTGTCCTAAAAAAAAAAAAGCCTAAACTTCCCGAGTGATTAAGAAGCGATGTGGAGGAATAGTTACCTTAAGGTTTCAGGGTGTTTAACTACAGGGGGCCTTCAAAGAGTTCGTGGGGCGAGCCATCGCGAAAAAATAAATCATGGATTTCAAATTTTGCAACGAGACAAAGTTACCTTTTAATTCCACGTCCGCAGGCTTTTCTGAAGCCCCCGCCCCTGTGCACAGGTGTACAGATAAAGACACAGCCTAGAGTTTCCTCCAAACACATCTGCAACATTTAGCCAAACAAAAAAAAAATCCGTACATTTCAAATCAGAAGTAAAAACCGCTGTAAATGTTGGCAGCTTTCCCTCCTACAGTTCAACGGCGAGAAAACGCAGAATTCTTGACTGTGCCGCCCCCCCAAAGGGAACAGCCGCAAACGCCGCTCCCTAATAAGCCCACTTCGCACCGCACGTTTCAAAGCGGCCATGCTAGCCTTCCCACTCGCGGGTTCCCGGGAATGCGCGACGCGCTCAAGCCTTGGTTTTGGGGTGAAACCTTCATCGTCGCAACCGCAAGCCCGGCGCGCGCTGCTGCCCCCCCCCCCCCCGCGCCCCGGCCCGCTCCGTGGCGGTAGCCGACTCCGCATCGCACCGGCGAACGCCGCAGCTGCCCACTCCACGGTCGCGGGCAGCAGGAAGGCGAGCCCGCAGAGCCGGGGGCGGCGGGGGCGGCGGGGGCGGCCGGGGGCTCCGCCGCCCGCAGCGCCACCCCCCCCCCCGGGCGCCGCCGCTGCACCTGCAATGCGGATCCCGCCCCGGGCCGGCCTCGCCTCCCCCGCCTGGGGCCGGACGCCGCGGCCGCCCCGCTGGGTGTCTGCGCCAGGAGACCCCCCCCCCACGCCCGCCGCCGGCCCGCGCCCCGGCCCGCACCGCGCAGCGCGGCTGTTCCGTCGCTGTCCAGCGGGGCCAGGTGAGCGGGGCCGGACTGGGCTCTCCGCGGGCCCCGCCTCACCTGCGGGCGCGGCCGCGGCGGTCCTTCAGGCGGCTCCCCGGCTCGGCTCGTTCCTCCCGGCGGGCGGCGGCGGCCCGCAGCCCATGGGCGGGGCGGCGGCGGGCGGGGCAGCCTCGGCTCCGGCCCTGCCCGGCCGGGCCGCCGAGGGAGGTCAGTGGGCACCGCCCGCTCAGCGCATCTCGCCGGCTCGCAGCGAGCGCCCGCCGCGGTGCACCCTGGGAGCCGGCCGGCGGCGAGCCGGGTCGCGCTGCGGCGTGTGGCGGCGGCGGCGGCGGCGGCTCGGCGTCCGCCGGGAGGGGCGGGGAGGCCGGCTGGTACTCACTGGGCGGGGAGGGGGCGCCGCCCGGCTCCCCGGGGCTGCGGCTGGGCAGGGGGACGGGGCCGAGGGGGAGGGAGGGTCGGGCCGGTGGGACGCAGGCGCACAGCTCAGGTGCGGCCGCACTGCGGTTGCCCCGGGCAACGCGGGCAAGGGCGGGCCGCGGCGGGGGGGGGCGGGGAGAGGAGGGAGAAGCGAGCGGGCGCGCGGGCGCGCGACCGGCGGTGGGGGGGCGCGCGCGGAGGCTTCGCGCATGCGTGCGGGTCCCGCTCCCCCGGGGCCGGCCGGCCGCGTGCGTGCGCACGCGCGCTGTCCCCCGGAGGCGTCTGGGTGTGCGGAGCGCGCGCGCGCGGCTCGGAGGCGCACCTGTGAGGTGTCCCCGGAGGAGAGAGAGGGTGGGTGCGCGGAGCCCGCGGCCTGGGGCGCCCGCACCCCTCACTTGGAGTGAGTTGGCGGCGGCTGAGCTGTCGCCGGCCTTCTTTTCCGGGGTGCGGGCGGGGGCGGGGGGCGGGGGTGGGAAGAAAAGAAAAACAAGCCGGCGCTCGGGACGGGCCTGGGGCCGCGCGGGCCCCTCGGGCGCGCCGCGGGGGTCGGCGCGGCTCCCCGCGGGCGGGCGGCCGCCGGCCAGGCCGCGGGCCTCGGGGCGGCGGGCGGCGGGGCCTGGGGTCGCCGATGGCGGCGGGCAGGGCGAGGCCCCGCGGGAGCCGGACTCCCGGGCCGGGCTCCATTGTTGTCGGGGCCGGGGGAAGGGGGAGCGCGGCCGGCCCCGGGGCCCGTGGGGCCGCGCCTGGGAGCGCTTCCAGGCGGGCCCCGGAGGGGCGGGCGCGGCGGCGCGCCGCAGGCTGTGCTGTTGTGTGTTTGTAGCGCCCGGCCCGGCCGAGGCCGCGAGGAGCCCGCCGCGCACCCGGCGCACGGGGCCGCCGCCGGACGCCTCCATTGTGTGACCGCGACCAGGGCCGCTCGCGCAGGTAAGCGGCTCCCGCGCCCCCTCCTCCTCCTCCCCTCCCCCTCCCCCTCCCCCACCCGCCGCCCGCCGCGCCCTCCCGGCCGGCCCCGGAGGACTCTGCCCTCGCGGCCCGCTCCTTTGTGAGCCCCGCGGCCGCCCCCACTTTGGCCGTGGCCTGTCCCGGCGCAACAAAGGGGCCTGCTCACGCCTCCGAGAGCGGCGCGGTGCGGTACTTCGTGACAGTCGGCCGTGGCCTCGGGAGCCAGCGGCTTTTTACAAAACGGATTTCGGCTTCCCTCGCCGCCGCCGCCGCCGCCGGGGAGCGCACGGGTGACCTTGCGCCACGCACCGGTGACTTGAGCCTTGAGAGAGGGTTTTGAAATTCGTAAATGCGCTGACTTGTTTTTATTTTTGGAAAAAGGGTCGCATCTCGGGGATGGTCGAAGCCCCCGCCAGCGCTGCTCCAGATAGGAAAAGTGTGTGCGCGGGTGCGGGCACCTGCGGTTGTAGATGCTCCGGAGCCCCCCCCCCCGGGCCCTTCCCGGTCTCCACGCGCGTCCCGTGGGATGCTCTGACGAGTGCCAGCGTGCCTCGGCTCTGAGTGTTAGCGTAGACGTCAACTCGTTCGCAGAGCCGCGTGTCCCTCCGCGCTCTGGCCACGGAGTGGCTTACCCAGCCGCTCTCCACAGGGCGGCAGTTGAAGTCAACTTCCTAGCAGCTCTGCGGCGGTGGTCTCTGATGAACCCTTCGCACAGACCTGTGCTAATTAGAGAGGAGACCCGCGCCTGCAGGGGCGTTCTCGCGGGCTGTGAAATTCACCTGTGGGCGCTGGGGCTGGCCCCTGACAAGTCCCGTGCCCTTGGCCTCTGCCAGCTTCGCTTGTCTGCGGGCAGCTGCGTGGGGCCGTGGGCGTGTGGAAGTGCCTAGGCCGAGGTGAGGTCGCAGCTGAAGGCCGGCGGGACCCGGGCACTGCTGGGTGTTTTCTGTGTGACCAGATGTGCCCATCACCGAGTCCTGGACGTGGTCGTTTTTGAGTGCTTGGCGGCTCGTGGTTTTGTGAGCAGTAACTTTGGAGAACCCCACACGGAGCATTTCCCCACGCCTTGGAGAGCGGATGCGGAGCTGCCCGCGAGGGCCGCCTCACCCAGTGACACCTGTACAGTGACCCAGCTTAGCCCCTGATTGAGCCGCAGGCCGATCTCCCGGGCGGCAGCGGGGCCACGCCGGCTTCGTGCCCTTCCTGGAAGATGGGTTTTCCGAGTTAGGAGACTCTGTCCGAGCGTTCTGGGGCGCCAGTGGGGGTCGTGGTGGCAGTTGCAGCTGGTTTTCTTAGTTCTGTTGAAGGCCACAAAGCGGCGGCCCCGTCCTCTCTGGGGTGGGGTCAGAGACAGGATGGCACAGCTACAGCGCGTTCACCAACTGGGGAGCTGCTGCGAGTGCCCTGTGAAAGAAGGGGCCCGTGAGGCTGGGGAGAGCAGGCCCGGGAGGGTCTGGGGAGGGGCAGAACCAAGACGCTGAGCTTGGAAGGGTGAGTAGGCGGCCTGTGGAGTGAGGTGGGGATAATTGTCCAGGCGGAGCAGCAGCGTGTGGGAAGGCCCTGAGGGGGAAAGCTGTGCCCATTCCAGGAGCTGGAAGCGGAGTGTGGACCGGGTAAGTGGGTGAGGGGCAGTGTGCCAGGCTCCGGGCCAGATCAAGTAGGGTCTTGCAGGGCAGGCCGAGGTGCTGTGTGTTATCCACAGTGAAATGGGAAACCATTGTGAGGGTTGGTTTGAGGCAGTGGCGTGACATAGAAGATTTGAATTATTAACAGCCGCTCCGGTTGCCCCGTGCGGAACTGGGGTGGGGGTGGGGAAGCTGGGGCGCAGAGCTGGGGAGGGCCAGGCAGGCCTTCCAGAAGAGACCAGGGCTTCACCTTGGGTTCACGTTGAGTCCTACTGCCGGCTCCACTAAGGTCAGACAGATGTTGATTTAAAAATTAACTCCTTTCTTAAGGTGGAATCAAAAGTGGGATTAAAAAGGCACTTTAATGCAAAAGGGCATGGGAATGTTAACCTCATTTTCCAGGCTAAACAGACATGAGGTCAGAATAAAAGTTGAGACATCATTTAACGTGGTTTTGGTGAGGTTTTGCCATAGTGACAAATAAGAGGTGGGGCCCTAAAACAGGGGAAGGATTTGCAGGTGCTATTCCTAGAAGGGAAACAGCCGAGCAGATGCTGGGCTGGGCGTGTGATGCGTGTATATGAGGTCTATGATGCAGGCGTGTGATGCGTGTATATGATGCGGGTGTGATGCGTGTATATGATGTATATGTTGTGGGTGTGATGCGTGTATATGATATATATGATGCAGGTGTGTGATGTGTGTATATGATGCAGGTGTGTGATGCGTATATATGATGCAGGTGTGATGCGTGTATATGATGCGGGTGTGATACGTGTATATGATGTATATGATGTGGGTGTGATGCGTGTATAGGATGTATATGATGCAGGTGTGTGATGCCTGTATATGAGGTATATAATGTAGGTGTGTGATGCCTGTATATGAAGTATATGATGCGGGTGTGTGATGCGTGTATATGATGTATATGATGCGGGCGTGTGATGCGTGTATATGAGGTCTATGATGCACGTGTGTGATGCGTGTATATGATGTATATGATGCGGGCGTGTGATGCGTGTATAGGATATATATGATGCAGGTGTGTGATGTGTGTATATGAGGTCTATGATGTGGGTGTGTTATGCGTGTTATGCAGGCGTGTGATGCGTGTATAGGATATATATGATGCAGGCGTGTGATGCGTGTATATGAGGTCTATGATGCAGGTGTGTGATGTGTGTATATGAGGTCTATAATGCAGGTGTGTGATGCGTGTATATGAGGTAGATGCAGGTGTGTGATGCATGTATAGGATGTATATGATGTGGGTGTGATGCGTGTATAGGATGTATGTGATGCAGTTGTGTGCGTGTATGAGGTCTATGATGCAGATGTGTGATGTGTGTATATGAGGTCTATGATGCACGTGTGTGATGTGTGTATATGAGGTCTATGATGCAGATGTGTGATGTGTGTATATGAGGTCTATGATGCAGGTGTGTGATGTGTGTATATGATACAGGAGTGTGATGAAGGTGTGTGATGTGTGTATATGAGGTCTATGATGCAGGTGTGTGATGTGTGTATATGATGTATATGATGCAGGTGTGTGATGTGTGTATATGATGCAGGTGTGTGATACGTATATATGATGCAGGTGTGATGCGTGTATATGATGCGGGTGTGATACGTGTATATGATGTATATGTTGTGGGTGTGATGTGTGTATAGGATGTATATGATGCAGGTGTGTGATGCGTGTATATGATGCAGGTGTGATGCATGTATATGATGCGGGTGTGATATGTGTATATGATGTATATGTTGTGGGTGTGATGTGTGTATAGGATGTATATGATGCAGGTGTGTGATGCGTGTATATGAGGTAGATGATGCAGGTGTGTGATGCGTGTATATGAGGTATATGATGCAGGCGTGTGATGTGTGTATATGAGGTCTATGATGCGGGTGTGTGATGCGTGTATATGAGGTATATAATGCAGGTGTGTGGTGTGTGTATATGAGGTCTATGATGCAGGTGTGTGATGTGTGTATATGAGGTCTATGATGCAGGTGTGTGATGTGTGTATATGAGGTCTATGATGCAGGTGTGTGATGTGTGTATATGAGGTATATGATGCAGGTGTGTGATGCGTGTATATGAGGTCTATGATGCAAGCGTGTGATGTGTGTATATGAGGTCTATGATGCAGGTGTGTGATGCGTGTATATGAGGTCTATGATGCAAGCGTGTGATGCGTGTATATGAGGTCTATGATGCAGGCGTGTGATGTGTGTATATGAGGTCTATGATGCACGTGTGTGATGCATGTATATGAGGTCTGATCCAGGTGTGTGATGCGTGTACCCCATTGGAATAGCTGTCTGAATACCAAAAGTAACCTAGCAGAAAGCACTGAAAACAAATTTACAAAAAACCTGACTGCGACCACGCTGCCTGAGGAAACGGGATGCTGTGGGAGCCGCGTCCCCGAGCCGGGATGTCCTGGCAGGGCGCCCAGGGGCCGACACTTGCGTGTGCTGCAGAGGTGGGTGTTAGGACAGCATGGTCCTGGCTCTAGCGTCGCCTGCACCAGTCACAGGAGCAGTCGAGTGTCCCCCGGATCAGCTCCCTCGTGGGCAGTGGAGTCGGGGATGAAGGAGCCACTGCAGATGCCCGCAGGTCTGAAGGAAGTGGGGGTGGACCTTGGGCCCCGGGAAGAGGACTGTGGTGCTGCCCAGGTGGGTGGAGCATGACCCGAAGGGAAGAGCCCCTCCCTCGCAGGTGTTGGTGGTCAGGCACGCACAGGGCATCACGTTTGCTGTTAGAAAGATGGAGACAATAACATCAGGTCCCATGCACGTTCTAAACTGTTAAAGAAGCAAAGGGAAAGGAAACCTTGCGGTTCAAAGCCACGCCACAGAGCAGGAACAGACGTGCGATGGCTGAGGGAGTGTGCGTCTCTTCAGTTTGTAAAGAATTCACGTAACAGAGTAGTGAGAGCCCACGTCCACGAGGGTGCGGATGTGCAGACAGCGCACCCCGCGGCTTGCTGAGTGCTTGCAAAGCTGATCTCACTGGTGGTCTTAACAGCAGTCAACTAGAGCACATTTTAGAGTAAAATGTGACTGTACCAAGACCTCCTGAAGTCAGACTCCCGGAAGTCACGGGACAGCTGCCTTACGTAAACGCACAGACGGCCGCTGTTCCCCGCAGGGAAGCCGCCGGTGCGGAGGCCGCGGTGCCCTCCCACTGACCCTGTCCCGCACGGTTCCTGTTGAAATCCCCCTGGGAATTTTCTTTGGCCACTTGAGTTGCTTCTAAAATTCTTTGGAGGAGTGGATTCGCTGGAGTGGCTCAAGTTGTTTTCTCGACTGGAGAAGGAGTGATGGTGGCTGTACCGGAAATGCAGGCCACGGTCACGGGCAGTGTCGGGAAGCGGGGCGCAGGGACAGCGTCCAGAGCTTTATGGTAAAGTGGGCATTTTCCAACAGCGGGGAATTAGAACTCAAGGTACTTGGCAGGAATAAATGGCTCTTTATTTGGAAGGAAGGGTCCTGCTTCTCTGTGTTCAAAATGGCTTTTAGATGGCTCGGAGAGCTAACTCAGCAGAAAAGCCCTGTAAAGGTTGAAGGAAGTATCAGAGAATCTGTTGTGTGAGAGGATGTCTTGTTCCTTTGCTTAGTCCAAGACCTAAAATTGTAAAGGAAGAAAGAGAAATTTGACCATAATCAAAGTTGATATTTTGGCCGGCGCCACGACTCACTAGGCTAATCCTCCGCCTTGCGGCGCCGGCACCCCAGGTTCTAGTCCCAGTCGGGGCGCCAGATTCTGTCCCAGTCGCTCCTCTTTCTGTCCAGCTCTCTGCTGTGGCCCGGGAGTGCAGTGGAGGATGGCCCTAGTCCTTGGGCCCTGCACCCGCATGGGAGACCAGGAGAAGCACCTGGCTCCTGGCTTTGGATCAGCGCGGTGTGCCGGCCACAGTGTGTGGCCGCAGCGGCCATTGGGGGGGTGAACCAACGGCAAAGGAAGACCTTTCTCTCTGTCTCTCTTCTCTCACTGTCCACTCTGCCTGTCAAAAAAAAAACAACTGCAAATGACTGGGGAAAATATTTTGGTAACATGTATAAAGGATAAAAAGAACTGACAGAATTAAAACATGGGTTGAGAATACGAATAGTTCTCTGAGAAATGAAAATAACAAAACGAGGAATTCAACTTCACTTGTGATTAAGGACAACACCCCATCCCCGGTCTGCCTTGGCTCAGGTGGTCGGGGACACACACACACGTCTGCCTTGACTCAGGTGGTCAGGGACACACACACACACACATCTACCTTGACTCAGGTGGACGGGGACACACACACACACACACGTCTGCCTTGACTCAGGTGGTTGGGGACACACACACACACATCTGCCTTGACTCAGGTGGTCGGGGGGACACACACACACACATCTGCCTTGACTCAGGTGGACGGGGACACACACATGTCTGCCTTGACTCAGGTGATTGGGGACACACACACACTTCTGCCTTGGGTGGACGGGGACACACACACACACACGTCTGCCTTGACTCAGGTGGTTGGGGACACACACACACACACAGGTCTGCCTTGGCTCAGGTGGTTGGGGACCACCTCGGAGAGGACGTCAGGTGACGTGAGTGAGGTTTCTTGCAGCAGCATTTATAATGAAGGAAAGGAGGTAACAGTGAGTTCTGGTTCATATACCATGAAATACAATGATTTTTTAAATTGTTTAGAAGCAGAGCGAACACGCGAGCGCCGTTCGCTGGGTTACCCCGAGGCCTGAGCCAGCTCTGCCGGTGGAGACCGGGAGCTGGGGAGCTCGGGTCCTGCCTCCAGCGTGGCCGCAGGGACCCGGCGACGTGAGCTGTCGCCCTCCCAGGGTCTGCGTCAGCGGGAGTCAGGAGCGCAGCCAGGGACGGGACCTGGGTAGCCTGCTCACGAGTAGTGTTTCATTTTGTTGAGATCTGTTTGTTTTATTTGGAAGAGAAGAGTTAGGGAGAGAGTTCTTCCATTGGCCAAACCACCTGGGGCTAGGCCAGGCTGAAGCCAGGAGCCTGGAACTCCGTCCTAGTGTCCCAGGTGGGTGGCGGGGGCCCAAGTACTTGGACCGTCTTCTGCTTTCCCAGATGGATTAGCAGGGAGCCGGGTCAGAAGTGGAGCAGCCGGGATGCGGGCATCACAGCTGGACGTCTGACCTGCTGGGCCACCACTCGGCCCCTCGTGTGGAGCTTCAGGAGTTGGGTGTGGGTGCTTTGACGTTGCCTGGATGGGTGTCCAGAATGTGCTATTGAGCCAGAAAAGCAAGTTTAATCCCATTTTTTGTAAAATGCAGGACAAAATAGTTGAGTGTGTCCTGAATACAAGTAGAACTTGTATTGTCTGGGAGAAGGCATGGGGAGCCCTGGGGGTGCACAGAGGCCAGACTGCTTTGATACTTTCCAGTTTTCAGGTAATGAGCGTGGTTTTGAAATAAAAGGGTGACAGTTTCTCAGTTTAATAGAGGTCTAGTTTAGACTACGCATCTGTGGTACCTAGTACTTGAGTGACGCTGGCCCTGTGTATCAGGAACCTTAGAAGCACAGTTCTTGATGTGGCAGCCAGCTGGGAATCATCAAAGGGATGCTCACAAAGTTTATTTTTATTTGAAGGGCAGGGAGAGAGAGAGATAAGCAGAGATCTTCCACCTGCCAGTTTACTGCCCACGTGCTCACAGCGGCCAGCACGGGGCCAGCCCGAAGCCAATCAGGATGTCCCATGTAGGTGTTGGCCCCAGATGCTTGGGCCACCGTCCGCTGCCTCGCAGGGACACGTTAGGAAGCTGGGTCAGAAGCAGGGCACTGGGGCTTGCACCAGGCACCCCATGTGGGATGTGGGTGTTCAGGCGGGGAGAGCGCAGCGGAGGAGATGATGGACTTGGGGGAGGTGAGACTGGAAGCTTTCGTGAACCCCGAGAAGGTGGCAGAGTGCCGGGAAGGGCCTTGGTGACTTCCTGTACTTGGGGGCCGGCGGGCTTTGGTGAGGACGGGACCGACTCCTGTCTGGATTTGCTGTGTTTGAAGGACTTCGAGGACACGTGGGTTGTGGACAGGGATTTCGCCGTGTGTGTGTGTGTGTGTGTATGACTGGGTGGGGTGCAGGGTACGTTCTCTGAGCTAACCGCACACTCGTCAGTTGTTTTAACGTTGGGCATGTCCAGCTTGTCCTGGACTGGCGGCGCCCGCAGGGATCTGGAAGCCTGGGTGGGTGGGTGCTGGAGGCTTCTTGGGCTCCCGTGAGGTCCTGGTGTTGGGAGTGGTTGTGTGGACGAGCTGCTCTGTCACACGCAGCGGCAGCAGAGAGGTGGTGGGGCCTGGCCCTGCGTGCAGGTGGAAGCACCCGCCCGCCTGTTAGCATGGGACGGAGGTTGGGCGGCTGTGCCATGTCCCTGCCGCGGGCACCTCAGAGGATGCCTTCAGCAGAGCACGTGTGGTTGGGAGCAAGAAACGCCCTCCGGAAATGGCGAAACGTGCTGTGTGCAGGAGTGCACCTGGCGTCGCAGGCTGCTGCTTGGCGGGGGTCAGAGGTCAGGGCAGCTGCCCTCTGCCTTCCTCCTGCCTTCGAGACTGCTGGGTGTGACGGATTCGGCCCAGGTGTGGCTGCTTCAAGAGGCCGTCCTGAGATCGCCCCTGCCAGTTCCCCGTGGCTGTGTTCACTGCGCAGCCTGCGGGAGCAGCAGACACGCGCAGGTGGTCCTCCAGAGAGGAGTCACGGGTGGGCAGGAGCGGCAGGCTCCGGGGCCTGGAGGTGTGACCTGGCATCAGGAGTGAAACTGGTTCCGCTCGTGGGCTCTGAGCCTGGCTCACCGCACCAGATGTAGGCTAGTGCCCGGTCGCAGATGCCTGTCTGTGCAAACTGGGAGAGAGATCCAGCTTTGGAGCATTGGCAGTTGAGCTTTTTTATTATTATTATTATTTATTTAATTTTTGCCAGGCAGAGTTAGACAGTGAGAGACAGAGTTATAGATAGAGAGAGAGAGACAGGGAGAAACGTCTTCCTTCCGTTGGTTCACTCCCCAAATGGCCGCTACTGCCGGCGCTGCGCCGACCTGAAGCCAGGAGCCAGGTGCTTCCTCCCAGTCTCCCATGCGGGTGCAGGGCCCAAGCACCTGGGCCATCCTCCACTGCCCTCCTGGGCCACAGCAGAGAGCTGGCCTGGAAGAGGGGCCACCAGGACTAGTACCAGCGCCCCGACTGGGACTAGAACCCAGGTGTTGGCGCCGCAGGCGGAGGATTAGCCTAGTGAACCGCGGTGCTGGCCAGTGCAGTGTGTGTCTCCGTCTGACGCTGTGGGGTTCTTGCACCTCTGATCTGCCTCGGGACTGCACAGTGTGCGTGTCTCCCGGCGTGCTACGGGGAGTCCTGTAGGCCGGCCGAGAGCGCCTGGCCTTTCCACGTCCCCGTGGGCTCACGGCGTGCGTCTCCACACCTTGTTCTGCGACAGGGTCCCAGAAGGGCTGAAGTCTGCCTGGGAACTCAGGGTAGACCTTCACAGAGCCGGCCGGAGCCTGCTGCAGAGCAGACACCCTGCTGGTCCTCGGCTTTCAGCGCCATTTGAGATGTGGCTTTCAGCACCATTTGAGATGTGGGTAGGACGGGACTTGACGGGGTTTAAGAGTATTTCGGGGATTCCACGTACTTGGCATCGGCTGAAACGTGACGGGCTCCTTAGTTAACTAATAAGCAACAACTTAATTACTATAGCTTTATATTTGGACAGGGTTCGGGCCTCGTGATAAGCCCCGAGGCTGAGAAGTAGAATCAGGAAGCTGTAGGAGTAGTCACCCTGCTTTGCCACTGCCTGCTGTGGGTGAGCCCTTCTGTGTCCCTGCTGGTTCCGAGCAGGTGTGGGAGCGCCCTCTGGAGGCGGTAGGAGCAGTTGCAAGGCCGACTCGGGCTTCTCGGCAGCAGCCATGGTGAGTGTGTGGAGCTGAGATGGTAGAACTGGTGGGCAAGGTGGGAGTGGAGGAGAGCTGAGCTGGAGCCCCTGGCAGCACTGGGCTTCGCAGAGGCACGGAAGCTCCCCGGCAAACTGAGTAGGGGGCTTCTCAGTGGTTTTTCTTTTTTAAAATTTATTTGAGAGGCAGAGACAGACGAGAGAGCTCTCATTACCCGTTCACTCCCCAGATGCCTGCGGTGCTGCGGCCGGGGCTGGGAACTCCGTCCAGGTCCCCGTGTGGGCGGCAGGTGGCCAGCTCCGGGAGCCTTCTGTCTCCTGGCAGAGTCCTAGAGGAGGAGACTGGAGCAGGGTGGAGCAGGACGAAGCCAGCACTGGGCTGTGGGCACCGCATGCGGCGTCTGCACTGCACACCTGGCCCAGACAGTTTCTGCAGCGACAGTGCAACTCGGAATCAGGAGCCGGACGACTGCAGACAGCAGTGGCCAGCGGGGTCAGGGAGGAATGTCAGCAGTGTCGTGGGTGGGGTGGAAGTAGAGAGGGAGCACTGGGAGGTCAGCCTTGTGGCACAGCGGGTGAAGCTGCCACCTGCCATGCTGGCGTCCCTATGAGCACTGGCTCCAGTTCTTTCTGATCAGCTCCCTGCAGAGGATGCCTAAGTCCTTGGGTCCCTGCGACCCCGGCTTTGGCCTGGCCCAGCCCTGACTGTTGTGGTTATCTGGGGAGTGAACCAACAGGTGGAAGATCTCTCTGTCTCTCCCTTACTAACTCTGTGTTTCAGGTAAAAAAATTTTTTTTTTTTTTTTAAGAAAAAAAAGGATCCTGAGTAGGCCCGTGGGCGTTTGGCCTAGCAGTTAAGGTACAGGTTTCCCATATTGGAGGGCCTGGGTTCGAGTCCTGACTCTGCTCCCGATTCCAGCTTCTGCTGGTGGAGACCCTGGGAGGCCTCAGGCGATGGTTCAGCACTTGGGTCGGTGTGAGTGCTGGAACCAGGGCTCTGCGAGCCTGCGACTCGGTGTGGATGCCGCGGGTCGAGAGGCTGGCTGTGGTGTCAGGGCTCCTGCGGCCTGGAGGGCGCCGTGCACGGCCAGTGCCCCGTTCCGGCATCTTGTCACCCTGCTCCGCCCTCTGCGCTGGGGCCACTGTTCGCTGTAGCTGCTTTCAGAAGACTTGGTGACCCTAACTGGCCACCTGCTTTCCTCTCGCCCAGCAGGGTCCTCAGGCCGCTGTCCCCTGCAGCCACCGTGAGTCCTGCTTCTGCCGCCCCTCTGGAGGGTCTCGGGTTGGATCCTGTCACTGCGTAAGTGTGCCCCTGGCTTCTCCCCATGTCCCTGCCAGGGGGTCTGCTCTGAGGAGTTGAAGCCGCAGCGGTCTCTGGAGGTTCTCTAAGCGCGTCCCCCTCGGCGCTCAGCGTCCCCGGGAGCTTCGTCATCTGCTGCTTTGCAGGCCTGTGCTGGGCGAAACAGCCTCAGTGCGTCCCGCCTGCCGTCTTGTGCCGTCTGTCTTGCCGTTTTTAAAGCTTTATATGTTAGGCAGAGGGAGAGCTTTTGTGTGCTGATTCATTCACTGCCCGAATGACCACAAGAGCCAGGGCTGGGCCAGCCAGGAGCTCCATCTGGGTCTCTCTCATGGGTGGCGGGGCCCTCACCTGCTGCCTTCCCAGGCTCATGAGCAGAGAGCCAGGTCAGAGACGGAGCAGCTGGGACCAGAACCCCTGCTCTGCCGCGGGGGCCAGCACTGCCAGCGGCACCATAACCCTCTCGGCCCCGGCCCCGCCCGTTCTCTCCCATCGTCCCCATCTTCTCTGAGGTCTCAGAACCTCTTTTAAAGCTGAGTTTGTTACTCTGTAGGTTTCTGGCATTTTTCTCAGAGTCTGCACCGCAGCCGTCGCCGTGGGTGGGAGTTCTGGGGACCTGGGATTGTGGCTTGGCGTCAGTCTCCTCGCCAGCGCCACTCAGAGCCGTCGGATTCCCGGCACGAGCACTTGTTTTCTTTTGCTTGTCTTCGAAGCTTTGTATTTGGAATCGTTTCTCGAAGTTTCGACTCCGGAGGACAGCGTGGACCTTGGTCGGGGGTTTGGTCGTCGTTAGCTGCACTGCTGAGCTCCGGCATGTTCTGTGTGCGGCCGCAGCCTCCGTGGCCGTGGCTTGCACGTGCCATAGCGTTGCACGCTGTTCCCGTGTGTACTCGGGAGACAGGAAAACCTCTCGTCGCCCTGCTGCTAGAGGTCGTCGCCCAGGCTCTGGGCTCCTCCCTTCATGGCGTCTCTTCCCCATCCATGAGGGGAACTGGCTCAGTGAGCGGCCCCTGTCGCCCTGAGCCCAGTGACCGTGTCCTTGTGGAAGGTTAAGGCCACGTGGATTGGTGGTGTCTCCCTTTCGTGGCTTCAGTGGCTGTGTGGTAGGGCTGGGGCTGCTCTGGGGAAGGGCCTGGCTGCCTTCTCTCTTTACCCTGTGCTGCGCTGGTCTCCAGGTGGCCACGCTCTGGAAGCTGGATGTGATGGCAGTGTGCTCCTCCCTGTCGCTGGCTCTGTCGGGTGGCTCACTGACAGGTGCCCCGGCCTGCCGTCTCCACTGTGGCGGGGAGGACCCAGACTCAGGTCTCAGGCACAGGGTTGCCACCAGCCTCGGGAGAACGGGGTTCTCTGAGATACACGGCCTTGCTCGTGCAGTGCTGCCCTGGGGGTGGGACCCGCGGCTCCGCGTGGCACCTGCTCCAAGAGACCCGGAAGTGGGGGGGGGGTTGCCAAGACCCTGCCTGACGCCGCGCCAGCCGCTGGTAAGGAACTCTTCCCGGGTTGCGCCGCCTTCCAGAGTCTGTTAGGAGCTCCCCTGTGGGCGGGCCCTCATCCTGAGACCCCACCTCCGAGGCCTGGCCAGCATTTGGGTTCCGGCTGAGCGATATGGCCCTGGTGCTTCCTGAGCGAGCCTGCCCCTCAGGTCTGCCCCGTCCTGGGCTTGGCTGGCGTGACCTGGAGTAGTCCGGTTCCTGGAGAGCCGGATGGGGCCTCGGGGGTGTCCTGTAGGGAGGGGGTGGGCGCTCTGGAGTTTCCACAGCGGGGAGCATGTAGGTAACTCCCTGGACGGTCCGCCTAACGCAGATGAGGTGGGCCATCTTCCGTGCTCGGATCACAGCTCTTAAAAACCCGTCTCGGAAAGCTGCCAGCTCTTCCCTCCCCTGACCTGCGGGGGCGGGGGCGCCGGGGGTCCTGCTGCTGGGCCGCTGTCTCCGCCTGGATCGCCGTCCCCGCGACTGTGGCAGCCCCTCCTCCCTCTCCCGGGCTGACGTGAGCGCCGGTCTGTTCTTTGTTCTCCTGGGCCTGAGCGTGGGCTTGGTCCCTCGAGAGTCGCTCGTGGTGCCTGAGAGCCGGCCTGGCTGCCTCTGCCCCAGCCCAGAGCGGCGGGGTGTGGGAGGCAGGGAAGGCCGTAGAGTCGGCCTCGGAGGGGTGGACTTCTTCCCCCAGCCCGGGGCACTGGGTATGGACACACGCTCTGGGTGTCGGGGTGGTGTTGGAGTAGAGGCCGTGCCAGTCACCCCGGCACTGTGCCTCTGCGCAGCCTCTGACCTTGATGGCCTGCTGCAAGGGAGCGCTGTTGTCTGCTTTGTAGCTGAGTCAGCTGGGGGCTGATGCGGTGCATCACCTGTGGTCACACGGCTAGAGGGTCCCGGCAAGGACATGACCATGAACTTGGGCCTTTTGACCGCAGGCCTGGTGTCCTGCCTGCCCAAGTATCGTGTGTTACACATTTGCTAGATGATAAGATAAGCCTGGGCTTGGCGTGGGCTGTGGGCTGTGGGCAGGGCCAGCTCCGGGAGGCCGTCTGTCCCTTGTGCAGGGGTTGCTGAACGCGGAGCCAAGCAGCAGGCCAGGGTGGTGCCGTGCACACGGGACAGCCGCTGAGCGCGGTGTGTGAAGGCCAGTCCTCTGAGCGGGGTGCAGGAGACAGGCACTCAGGCGCGGCGGCCTTGGCCTTAGAACAGAGCAGAGCCCCACAGTCGGGAGCCCCTGGGAGAGAGCATCTTGGCCAGTGGGTGCGTGTGCCATGCCTGATTGAAACCGAGGAAATGAGGAAGCAAGCGTTTAGCTTGAGCCGTGCTGGGGCGTTCGCCCCGGTTGTCCCAGCAGAGGGTGCAGGGTGGTCTGCCGTGAGCCCTGACCCAGGCAGTGGCGGGCCTCGGCCCTCAGCCAGCTGCGCGCTGCACTATCCCTGCTGAAGGAGGGTGGCCGTGTGCCCGCGCCGCCTGTGCCGCTGCAGCAGCCCAGGTCCCGGCCTCGGCCTCAAGGGGGTGCTGCTGTTCTGTCCTCGTTGTCCCCTTCCCAGGGTCCCACCTCACGTCCGTGGTGACTCCAGTTCCGAAAGACCAGACGTGGCTTCTCCACGTGAGGAGTCTGGGCCGGGTCACGCCAGGAGCCGCCTTCCCAGCACAGGAAGACAGCATCTCTCCCACGCAGCTCACTGAAACCAGGGGCACGGGGAGCCTCGTCAGGGCTCCAGGTAGGAGTGGTCTCAGGATGGTCACAGGGCACCTGCTCCAAGAGACCCAGAACGGCTTCTCGTCTGGCTTCCGGTCTCGTCCAGTGACCGGGGCAGGGATGCAGACAGGACGGCGTCCGAGGTGCCACCTGTAAGTTTGAGCTCATTCCAGAGGGAACAAGAGTGGGCCCTGCCTGACATCCTGAGTCTGGCTGGAGAATCCTGCTCAGTCAGAACTTCCTCTGAACAGCATACATTTTTACTTCAAAACCCTTTGGGGGGCCCGGCGCCGCGGCTCACTAGGCTAATCCTGCACCTGCGGCGCCGGCACACCGTGTTCTAGTCCTGGTCGGGGCGCCAGATTCGGTCCCAGTTGCTCCTCTTCCAGTCCAGCTCTCTGCTGTGGCCTGGGAGGGCAGTGGAGGATGGCCCAAGTGCTTGGGCCCTGCACCTGCATGGGAGACCAGGAGGAAGCACCTGGCTCCTGCCTTCGGATCGGCACAGCACGCCTGCCATAGCGGCCATTTGGGGAGTGAGCCAACGGAAGGAAGTATGTTTCTCTCTGCCTCTCTCTCTCACTAACTCTGCCTGTCAAAAAAATAAAAAATAAAAAATAAAAAAAACCTTTGGGGAGGTTATTCCCGTTATTGATGTTTATTTGAGAGGAGAGACAGAGAGCGAGCTCCCACCTGCTGGTTCACTCCCCAGCGGTGCAGTGTCTGGGGCTGGGTCAGGCTGGAGCTGGGAGCTGGGACCTCAATCCGGGTCTCCCACGTGGGTGGCGGGGCCCAGCTCCTCCAGCCATGAGGCTGCCTCCAGGATCTGCGTCATAGGAGCCGGGAATGGACCTTGGGTGCCAGATGTGGGCCTCTTCACTGCTGAGTGAGACGCCCCGCGCTCAGGTGCTAGCAGACGGGCGTCTGAGTGTCGCTGGGGCCTGGGCATGGCAGCCAGTGGCAGGGTCTGAGGCTGCTCTGATCGTCAGAAGCACCTGGGGACGGGCTGTGGTGGGGAGTGCTGCTGTGCAGGGCTCTGAGTCCAGAGGGTGCCCGGCGCCTTCCCCCGTGAGCTGGGCGGCCTGGCAGAGGGGGCGCCCACAGCCGCGGCTTCTGTGTTGGAGTTCACTTCGTGTGTCTGGAAGGCAAACGGAGGTTCCCCAGCTGCCCACAGCATCTGGGGCTGGGCCGGGCTGGAGCCAAGGACCTGGCGCTCGGTCCTGGTCTCGCATGAGTGCCAGGGGCCCAGGTGTTGCAGCAGAGTGCAGGTGTCCCTGGCAGCGTGTCAGCCGCTGCCCCCTGAGGTCACTTGGGTGAGTGAGAAAAGTGGGGTGGCCTGTGGCTTTGCACAGCTGCCGACGAGGGAGAGGAAGTGGGAGGAGCCAGGGGAAGCCTGGTCAGAGGCTTTCTGGGAGCCCACTGCCCAGGTGGGAGGCTGGCACCCTCTAAGGTGGGTGTCAGTGTGACCTGTCACCTCCGAGGTGGCGCAGGTCGTGCGGAGCAGCTGTCGTAAGGGACCGTGCAGGGCCTGTGGGATGTGACCCATCCTGGGATGCTGAGTCGGTGCACCCAGGCCAGGGTGCTGATGAAAGAGGCAGGGTAGCATGGCGTGGCGTTCCACAGTCACAGCTCCGAGCTGCATGGGTCAGGCCTGTGTGGGGCGTGACCCACCCTGGGATGCTGAGGTGGTGCGCCGAGGCAGGGCAGCGTGGCCGTGGCATTCCACGGTCACAGCTCTGTTACTCTGAGACAGGGCAGAGCCGAGCAGCACTGGGTCAGGCCTGTGTGATCCCAGTAGCTGGGTTCCCTGTGACGCAGCCCTGGAGGTG